GTGATATGGGGTGACCCCCAGGAGGGAAAAGAGGACGATGGGCAGCAGAGCTGTCACAGCCAAGGGCAGTGCCTCCGTGCACCAATACAGGGCCATCAGCAGGATCACATAGAGACATCTTCCTTCCTGCAAGAGGAGAGCAAAAGTAAGACACATGACATTGCAGAGACATTTTTTCACTTGGGAGACACTTGGACAAGGAAAATGCACCAATTACCCCATCAAGAACAATATTTTTCTCAAATCATTTCCATCAAGTGGAACATCTTCCCCTCTACACTGTGTAGTTCAGGACTTACACCACGACCACAGCAAAGCCCAACCCCTCCTCAACTGCCTGAGCTTCCCATGTGCTGCAGGGTGCTAGAGCACCAGGGCACCAACCAAGGAAGCTCTGCAGAGTAGGAACTGCCCCTCTGCATTGAATTAGGGCATCATTTATCCTCAGCAGTCACTGCTGCCAACATCCTCAGGTGTCCCAGTATCTCACCCCTCTCAATTTAATATGTTTGTGCTTTCTCTCCACCTTCCACAGACCATTCTTTGCATGGCTATGGAAAACAGCTCTGAGATAGATATATCAAAGCCCCACATTTGCAACAAGAGGCACACAGAAAAGTTTATTTTCTTGGATCAGAGCCTCCCAAAGATGTGTGAGAAACCACTCTACAGCAACCCACCCCAGTCCTTTCAGAAACCAGTAAATCAAACATTGGTGTCACTTCCTGAGGGCAGGGAGCTCGCCCACGGCCAGCATCACCCCAGCCTTGGCAAAGGCTGGCAGAAACCCAGTTCCCCCACACCATGCACTCATTCATCCACCCAGGAGGCACAAACTAACCCAAAGCCATTTGTCATGACAGCCACGACTGAAACAAGGAGGATGGAAAGAAGTCAGGAGTCCAGCTCCAAGCCCCGGCAGGGATGGGGAGCCCAGCCTGGAGCTGGACTGGGCAATGGCAGGGCTGAACAGGGATATTGTCAGCCCCCCTGGGGCAGAGTGCCCACAGCACTGTTAATAACAGCTCAGAGTCACTTGGAAGCCACAAAGCTATTTATTTTACCACTCTTTTCCAGCTTGTTGAACAGGTTGAATTGTTACTCAAAGGCACCTCTGTCCCTTTGCTTGGACCTTCCTCCTATTGCATTAAAAGGTTGAGCAATTTGGCAGAAACAAAATCCTACTAGGTTCCAACTTGTCCTCAGGTATCAGAGGGGCTGGGGGCAGCTGAGTTTAGATTCTGAGAGGTATCCATTTCAGCATTGTCTGGCTGTGTTCAATTTACTGAACTACCACAATTACAGCTACACTTGTATAGGTTCTTAGGGATTGCCAGTGACAAATAAATTACACTGTCTGCAAAGCAGGTGCAAGTATCAAAAATTATAACATATTTATTGCCAGGCTGCATTATTTAAGTAAAAGAATAACTAACTCCTTAGAGATTCCTAAGTTTCCTCAAGGAAACACTTGGTATAGACTGGACCTTACCCTATGGGGGGGAGAGAGGCTCAGCCCATTGACTGACCCCAGAAGTGAGAGGTGGTCTGCAATGGAATATCCCAACTTGATGATGGTGTCTTCCCTAACATTCCCCCTTTCTTGAGCCATTTTTATACTCATTTTTACCTTCAAGGTGAAGCATGCAAGACTCTAGTCATACATACTTCCGTTATGGTTGGTGTAAAGTTTCCTCCCTTTGCTTTTAAAGGTATAAGTTAAGCCAAATTCAGGGTGCAAGCTTGAGTGAGGGGCAGTCAGACTTTAAAGGCAGGTAGCCTTTGGGATGGAGGTGTTTTTTAGCATTATAATGAGCAAAGTTTGCACAAAGGACAGCATTTTGTCAAAAAATGATAGACTATTGGCCAAGGGTGGTAAATATGCAACTTATCAGCACTGTAGTACCATAAGTTCCCATCTCTACACAGGCTGGCCACAGAGTCTTCACCCTGCCTGCAAAACACCAGAGGGTGGAGAGATGTTTAAGGAACCACCATGGAATGGATTACTTGCATAACAGTGCAGGCTGCACTTCACCTGGGAAGCTTCTTCAGTACTATACCTTCCCTTAACATGTGAACACCACCATACCTGTAATATCAATTCATTTTCTAATTTGGCTCCAGTGATTATTCCACACCTCTCTGGGCTCGCTAGAGCTCTCGTGAGGGAGATGATGGCTCTGCTCCCTGGCGTGGCCAGGTCAGGAACAGCGTGGGCTGGGAACTGTGTGGAGGTGTCCTGGGGATAACGTGGTCCCAGCTGCAGCTGGAGTGTGCAGCAAGGTACCAGAGCAGGTATGGCAGAGCCACAGCTTGCAAAAAATGCACTACAGGCCTCAGCTGAATGTGGTTGTTCCCAGGCTCCTAGAGCAGACACCAGCCCCACAGCACACCCAAAGAGGATAAAAAAAATAATCAGTTACTGAAAAAGCCAAAGACCTGAATTCATCCTGACACCCAGGTGGTGAATTGCTGAGTGAACTGCAACCAATACGGGTTTATCATTCATACATCTGATCTGCAGGGAGTCTTTGAAAAGGGGCCAGAATGACAGAATTTCTGATTTGTTCTAGCACTCAGGCTTTGTATTTCACAAGCAGTTCTGCTCATAGAGGTCCACGTGGAAACACAGATGCCACAGAACTGAGAGTAATTTGCTTTGATTTTTTAATACATTAATCACAACAGAGCCAACACTTCATGTGAAGTTCCCAAGACCTGGATTTAAAGACCGCTCCCAGTCTTAGTTTTAGACCCCAATAAAATGACATACAAGACACTGCAGTAAACCCTTCACACTGCCAGGGCTCAGCCCTGGCACCTCACAGCTCCCACGAGCTCCCCGCAGCTTCACTTCCTCCAAGCCAGCAGGACCAGAGCAACAAACCTGGCAGTCCTAAACTCTGCAAAAATAAAGAATCATGTTTTAAAAGGTTTGCATACTAGATTTCATTCCCATGGCTACTGATAATTTCTCTTTATTCTGGTTCTTTTTATACACCAAAGAAATATTTTCTCTCTCATTAAGCCCTTTTCCATACAGTCCATATAAATAACTTCCCCCCCCCCCAACTGGCAAAAAGCCTTCAGTTTTCTGCAAGGAAAGTTGCACCAAAGTCAACTGCAAAATAGAAACAATTTTCCTCTTACAGGGGTAGAGGGCCTGAAAATATTTAACACCTTGATATAAGCATATCAATGAAGGCTTTAAATGACTGGATGAAATAGATGAAGCACAACTTAGAAAGCTAATTATAAATAAGGAATATTTATTCTCTGGTGCATGGAAAGTGTTCTGGAAAACACTGCAATGAAACACAGCATGAATCTAATAACTAATCTTCACTGCAAGATCAAAAGCCAACAAAACAAAGCAGAAAGAGCTGCTTTACAGCAAGTTCTCCCAAAGTTATGAAACCTATATGGATGAACAGCAAACCACTTGAAAAAGAAAGCTGTAGTATTGCTTATCCAATTTATTCTACCCTAAAAGAGGCCAAATTGCACATATTAACAAGGTTTTCACTTAAGATAGGCCCATCATTGAACAAAGAAGGAACAAGACCATTTCAGAATAACTTTGATTCGGAGCAAGTACGCCCTAGAACAAAAAAAAAAATAATTAAAATCATGAATAAAATTGAACCAAACTCTGTAGCAAATGAAAAGGTTTTTGGCTTCAAGGTATCTTTCAAATATTAATTAACACCCCCCATTCCCAACAAGTTAGGTTGGTATGTAAACAACAAATGCTAAGAAATGTCAGAAGGATGTTCTCATAGGGAGATGGCCATGGCTGGGCTGGGCTGCCCATGCTGCTGCGTGGCACCACCTCCTCCAATCATCTTCATCCTTCCATCCCCCTGCTGTGTCACCTTCTGCTTCTCTCACCTCTCTCCAGCTTTCTTTGGGGGTTTTTGGTGGTTTTGTTTTTTAAATAAATCCAAGTTCAGGAGGAGAAAATGGCAGCATATACAAACTTCAAAATGAGTCTTGTGATTGGGTTAATTTTATAACCATTTAATGATTTCCAGGGAAGTGCTCAGTGGCTCTGGACTGCAGCAGCTCTCCTTCCTGTTGCTCAAGAGCCTTGGGAATGACCTCTGCCCCTCTAGACACAGATCCTGTCTTCACTGCACTCCAAGTACCGGGGATTTTCCATGCTGGGGGACCTGCTGAGCTACAGCAGAGGAAGCCAAGCCACGGGGTAGTCTCCCATGTTCAGGAGAGCTGGATAGGGCAGACGGTCTCCTGGAAGGGCAAATGAGGTACCCCAGGGAAAGGAGGTGCTAGTAGGGAAGGCGAGTCAGCTAAGGTGAACCAGCTCAGCCAGGCATAGCAGCAAGGCGTGGGTGCAAGCACAAGCCACCAGTCCCCACCACCAGCCTGAAAGGGGACATGAGGAGCTTCAGCTGGACCTTGTTCTCCAGCAACCCCGGGTGGCTCCTGGGCAGCCCAGTGTGACCTGCCCAGTGAGTGCCCACAGCCCCCCCCAAGGCTGGAAGAAGCCCTGCCTTGGCACTGCCAAGCTGTAGTTTCTCTCCATCAGCCTTTGCCTGCTCCACAGCCACCACAGCCTCATCTCCCCCACATAGGCTCACCCATCACCCTTCCACCCTGCAACCAGGCAAACTCGGGGCACACAAGTGACTGGGCTCCTCCAGGACCTCAGTCAAGACATCCAAGAGATATTTTGGCTGAACTGGAGCTTTCTAAGCCCTTTTATCCCACTGATATCACACAGGAACCTCTTACCTCCAACACTCGGCACTAAAAAGCCTCGGTGGCTTTCAGAATCTCCCTGGCAAGCTGCTCTCCCAGTGCAGCTGTGCCTGTCCTACTGGCCACCTCAGTGGCCTCCCACTGTCTGCTCTCCAGCACGATGGGTATGTCAATCTGATTGCTGCTAACCCAGCTCCTGCAAACATTATGTAATCTGGACATAAACCAAGCCCTGTTTACCAGCCTCCCTGCCAGCAGCGTTGTTTTCCTCCCACTGGGTATTTGCAGAGTGGGTAGAAAGGGCCAGCAAACACAGGGGCACAAGCTGGAAGAGCTGCAGGGAAGACACTTTGCTCTGGAGTTATGCTAAAAAGGCATAAAGCTTATTAAACACTTATTTAAAATTCTTGAAG